ATAATTATAATATATATATATATATAATTGAATTATAATATAATTCCATTATAAGAGAATATGTATACCAATCCAGCACAGTTGCTTTCCCAACTAGTTTACTGTGTGTCTCAGTTTACCTGTGTGCAGAATGCTATTGAAGGTTAGGCTGCAATTCTGAATATCAAATGGAAAAGCATATGTCTGTAAGCTGCAGGCAGACACCACCTGGATAGGCTTAAAGTTCTTAATGGTCCCAGATGAGTTCACATAAACATAGGGAAGGTCAGGAGATCTTTCAGTGTCCATACTATATGAAACAGAAGAGAGTTGTTACAAAGAGAGTTTTAGTTATTTCAAAACATACAGAACTGCTTTTGAGATGCTAGTAACCACGAGATCTAGGATTAGCCGAGCACTGCAAAGAGAACTATATTTCCCATGAGATGATTCACCCTGGCGAGATGTAGTGATAGTCTCATGGTTTAATTCATTTGCTACTGTTACACTCTGGACAAAGAATGACTCCAGCATAGTAATCAAACGTGTATCCTAAATGATATCAACTCTTGGTATTTCTCACCCAAATATTGCCAACAATATATGCTTCTCATCAACTTGAGAAACAAAAAAAGCAATAATAGCTGCAAGTAAGAATCAGTTGGTCTGATTTAAGTGGTCTACAGCCCCACGGAAACACTTATACCCAGCACACTTACAACTCATTGATGACGATATCAGGGGTCCAGATGGTATTGAGAGGTAGGGAGATCTCTCTAATCTCATCAAACATGCTGGAGTTCCAGGATAAAAATTCATCATACCAAACCTATTAGGAGTAGACAAAAGAGAAAGTTATTCAAATGGGGTGAGGTAAATCTTACTAACGAACTGAGAAGAGGTTTGGATTAATGATCCAGTGTATCAGCCCCTGGGTGCTCTCTCTTAGGGGAGAGAACTTCCCATCCAGTTCCTTTAGGTGGTAGTCCCAACCAAAGTCTATGGCCACACATTTTGCATGGATTCTAACAGACTAGGTCTACTGCAGATCTAAGCAATATAAATGCAAAGATACAATCTATTCCTTAGAATCATCATATTTTGAAGCAGATCCAGATCAGAAAATCCAGCATGCGTAGAACTAAACATAAGCATTTACCTCATGGTACCACACACTTGTCTTTAATTTTTGATTCTGTACATCCTGCAATGCAAAAAGAAAATCCATATCAAATCTTAGAGTGTCAAAGAATCAAAAGGAAATTCAATAGCATGACAGTTCTGAAGAAGAAAAAAGAATCTAACCAAATAATACTCATTTAAATGCCTTGCCTATACTCTTCAATACCTGGGTATTCTCAGTTCCTGTTTATTATGCACACCTGTCGCTTGGGCTCTCCTGTATTATCTATGACAAAATGGCACTTTAACTATACTTGACATCTTGAATGATTTGCTAATCTCTTTTCCACTGTAATTAGTTACTCTGCTATTAATCAGACTAAAAAGTGATATGTAGTTTTAGCCAATTTTGAGCTAAAAAGATGAGATCACATTTTTATTTGTAATCAAGATATTATTCATAATCTTTCAAAAAGTGTTATTTCAGCTGATATTGGCAGCCATTCCTCTTAGCTTTAAATTTCTCTGCTTACAAAACAAACTGAATAAACTTAATGTAAGTAAGGTATATTTCAGAGGATTTAATAAGTGTTTTTTCTCATATCTGCAATGATTCAGTGATTTTTTTGAAAATTCCCAGAAACAGCAACCAACCAACAAACAAAAACCATCTTTACTATTTTTCATATTTAATCTAGTAAAGAACATTTCAAATTATGGTATTATTGGGGAATATAAGAAAAATATCTCACAATATGCATAAGTTTATATATATACATATACATATATATATATATTTGAATGAATATATATATGAAAATGGACCATAAGCCTGAATGTAAGAGCAAAACTCTTCATGAATTTGAATTAGGCAATGCTTTCTTAGTTACGGCAACAGAAGAAAAATAAATGAAATTTCATGAAAATAAAATGGTTGAGTACATTACAGAACATCATCAGGAAATAAAATAATAACTCACAGACCTGGAGAAAATATTTGTATATCATACACCTGATAAAGGGTTTGGATACTGAATATATAAAGAAGCCAGGCATGGTGGCCCATGTCTGCAATCCCAGCATTTGGGAGGCTGAGGCAAGAGGACTGCCACGAGTTTGAGGCCAGCCTGGGCTACACAGTGAGCTCAAGGATAGCCTGAACTACAGTGCAAGACCCTGTCTAAAAACAAAAATAAAAACAAAAAACAGATTATATAAAGAATTCCTATAACTCAACAACAACAAAAAAAATGCTATTTAAAAGTGAGCAAGGAACTCGAGTAGACATATCTTCAAAGCAGATACACAAATTTCCATGAGAAGATGCTTAATATTACTGTTATGGGTCAAATTGTTGTCCCTCCCCTGCTAAAATTTTTTTGTATGTTGACTAACACTCAATGTGTATAGATTGGGACTTTAGAAAGTACAATAATTAAGGCTAATGGAGGCCAGAATGTCAAGGTACTAATCTTATACGATTGGTGATCTTTTAAGAAAAGAGACAAGACAAATGAAAACTGAGAAAAGTTATTCTATCAGACTTAAATGCTTAAGGGATTCCTATACTAGAAATGAAAGGATGATAACTACCATCATGAAAATATAAAATTCATCAGCAGAATAGTAGAACAGATATATGAACCCTATCAATACAGAAAACTATCAAACTACAAAGATGAACAAGAGAGGAAGAAAGGAGGCAGATGTGATGGCTCATACCTCTAATCCCAGATCTTGAGAAGTTGAGGCTGGAGGATTGCCATGAGTCCAAAGCTATCTTTAGCAACATAGTAAGTTTAATACTAGCCTAAATTTACATAGAGAGACTCTGTCTCAACCCCTTCTGCCACCTCTCCCCCAAAAATAGAGGAAGAAAAGAAAAAGGACATCCTGAAAAACAACTAAAGAATAAATCAGATATGGTTGTGCCTGCTCTGTAATCCCAGCATGCTGAGAGGCTGAGGCAGGAGGATCCCACTTTTGAGCCACTCCTGGAAAACTTAGGTGTAGCTCAGTATGAAGACTCAGGGTTCAATTCCCAATAATACAAATAAATAAATAATAACAGCATATTTTTATTTATCTGTAACAAGCTTGAATGTAGTGGATTAAATTCTCCCTATTTAAAAACATATGTTGGGGGCTGGGGATTTAGTGTAGTGGTTCTGCTGCCTGCCTCACAAGCACAAGGTCCTGAGTTTGATCTTTGGTACCCCCACAAAAAACCAAAAACATATATTGGGAGAATGGATTTTTAAAAAATTAAGTTACTACTACGAGAATCTAATTTCATCTGTAAAGATACACATAGACTAAAACTGAAGAGATGAGAAAAGATATACCACATAAATAGAAACAAAAAGTGAGCAGGAATAGCTATATTTATATCAGGTAAAATAAACTGTAAAAAACTGTACAAAGAAGGTCATCATATAGTGATAAAAGGATCAATTCAACAAGAAGAAATAACAGCTGTAAGTATACAGAGTCCAACAAAAAAATTCATAGACACTTCAGGAAAAGAAAAACAGTATGATTTTTTTCAATAGATGGTGTTGTTACTCTCATATGGGGGAACCTAGAAGATGTCTTATATTGCAGAAAGCTCACTACACTGCTGGCCCTTAGAGACGGAACTGAAAATGTATGTGCAGCAATCTCAACGACCAAGCAGCAGTTCTCCATACTACTAAATGTCTGGAGGCTAATGGCCACCACTTTGAGCACCTTTTGTAACTGTAGAAGCCAATTAATCTCATGATGTCTCAATACATTTAGTATTAAAATATTTATACAAGTTTTTCTTTTCCTGAAGTGTGTATGCTTTATTTTGGCAGACTCTATTTGTGCACCAAACCTTGGAACACTGAATCACACACAGTAAACATTATCAGATGCAAAAGGATAGAAGAATATAGTAACAGTTGGAAACCTTAACACTTTACTTTTCTTAATGGGTTATCCAGGTCACCAGACAAAAACAATCAACAATGAAATATTGGTGTTAAATTGTCCTATAGGTCAAATGGACATAGTGGACACTTGCAAAATATTTCATTTAACAGCTACAGTCTTCACATTCATCCCATCAGCACATGGAATGCTGGGAAAATTGGATATCCATATGTAAAACATTGAAACTGGATCCCTATCTCTCACCCTGTACAAAACCAATTCAAAATGGAACAAAGACCTGAGTATAAAACCTAAAACTAAAAACCTAAAACCTAAAACTTTAAAAGCACAGGCAAAGATTTGCTGAACAGGATTCCAATAGCAAAGGAAATAGTAGTAACAATCAACAAATGAGACTACATCGAATTAAAAAAAACTTTCTGTATAGCAAGGAAAACAATCGACAGAGTAAAGAGACAACCTACAGAATGGGAGAGAATCTTTGCCAGATACTCTTTCAACAGAAGACTAATATCTAGAATATATGAGATGTGATAAAATATACGGTGATAAAATATTTATTACAGTAAAAGACACATAGTCATTAATTCCCCTCTCAATGCTTCCTTCATTTCAAACACACTTATCCCATTGTTCTTACTACATTCTAAAGCAGTTCTGGAAGTTCTCTTTCATGAATATCTTTAGTTTTGTTATTGTTGCTCAATGTCCTGAATTGATTCAAAACATTTACCTGGGGCTGGGGATGTATCTCAGTGGCGCTGTGCCTGCCTGGCAAGCACAAGGTCCTGAGTCTGCTCCCCAATAAAAACAATCAAGACAAAATCAAATTTAAAAAAGCATCAAATGAAAAAAAAATCAAATCAAACAAAATCAAATTAAAAAATCAAAACATTTATCTGTCATGGTCATTTTGACTTTGGGGAAGAGCCAGAAATTGCATGATGCCAGATCTGGTGAACAAGGTGGATGAGGATGCACCATAATGTTTTTATGAGCCTTCTTTACAGTTGTATGGCACCCATCAGTGGTATCCACTGTCTCTTTCATGCCTCATGAAGACACTAAAGAGGACTTCCAGAACTGCTTTAGAAAGTGGCAAGAAAAATGGAAAAAGTGTCTTTGAAGAAAGTGGGAGTATTTTGGGGGAAGCTATTTGCAATGCATCTTTTATTATGATAAAAATTTTAAAATTTAAGCATTCACTGTGTGTTTTGATCACCCTTTGTATAAAGAATTCAAAAAGCTTAACACCAGTAGAGCCTGGTGGTGGTGTAGGCCTATGATCCCAGCATTCAGGAGGCTGAGGCAGAAGGATCATTGCAACTTTGAGGCCAGTCTGAGTCACATAAGGAGTCCAGGACCAGCCTGAACTACATAGTGAAACTCTGTCTCAAAAACCCAAAACCAAACACAAAAACCAACAACAAAAAAAGCTTAACATCAATGAAACAATAGAACAATCAATAGTTGGACAAATGAGTTAGACAAGAACTTCTCAAAAGCAATATAACCAAGCATAGGGATGCATGCTTGTAATACTAGCACTCTAGGAGGCTGAGGCAGGAAGATCATAAGTTCAAATCCAGCCCGGGCAACTTAGAGGGACTCTATCTCAAAAAACAAAAATGTCTGGGAATGTAGCTCAATGTGAAGGCTCTGAATTCAATCCTCACAATCAGAAAACACAACAAAAGAATTACAAATGGCCAGTAAGTATATAAAAAATGTTCATTGTCTTCAGCCATCAGGGAAACAAATCAAAACTACATTGAGATTCCATCTTACCCCAGTCAGAATGGCTATCAAGAATGCAAAAAACAGTAAAAGCTGGTGAAGATACAAGGGAAAAATAACTCTTCTGCACTGCTAGTAGGAATTAAAATTAGTACAGGCTTTATGGAAATCAGTATGGAGGTTCCCCAAAAACCTAAAAATAGAGCTACCATATAACCTAATTATAGCACTCCTTGATATATAACTAAAGGAATTAAAATCAGCATATTTGCATATCCATGTTTATTGTGGCACAATTCACAATAACCAAGATACAGAGCCAGCTTAGGTGCTCATCAACAGATGAATTGATAATGAAAATACACACACAATGGAATATTACTCAGCTTTAAATAACAACATTATGGTTTAACAAGAAAATGTGTG